AATAAAAAGGAAATCTGCAGTGAACTGACCCGGAAGTGGGTACCTGTCAAAACTAGCTACCCGCTCCCCCCCAAATGTGGCAGTGGAGGGGGGGAGGCAGACAAGTGGAACATCCCCTTTTGGGTGGAGTTCTGCTTTAAAAATGCTACTACTACAGAAAAATTCATACTGATTTGTTAGATATCCAGAGTGTTCATAACTTTTCCTCAAGGAGCCTTTGTTTCTTGTCTTGGACTATATAATAATTAGCTTTTTATCTTGTGGAGATCTGAGAGTAGGAGTGGTTGATTGGCTTAATAAAAAACAGTGGGAGTGCTGACACCACTCAGTCCAAAAAAAAAAAAGCTGTGTGTTGTCAGACCACAATGGGGTTTAAGAGCCAAGTGTATTTCTGGCAGATCAAAAGGTATTTTTCTATGCCTAAAAGGACTTTAGAAGGATTACACACAGATGAAATGTACTGCATATGATTTTTTGGACTTGAAATGTTTTACTTTTGCCGAATGCTTTGTACACTTGGAAGTAGTCATTTTTGTGCTAACTCTAGGTGACCACAAGATGGTGCAATAAGTACAATTACTTTTATTTAGGTAATATATGTACACTGCTGAATGTGAACAGCTTTTATATGGAATACCTATCCTATGTCAACTTTTCACTCTTTACACGTTGAACCCAAAAGATATTTAAAATGCTGTGTTTTAGGCATACATCCTTGTCAATGCAAATCCATAAACATTCCCAAGTATTTTTTTTCTTTTTAAATGGTCACTGTGACCTCATGAAGCAGAGTATTTTCTAATGTACATTTTAGGATACTGAGGTTCAGTGACCAGAAATGTCTTGCTAATGCTTAAAGCTCCACCCAAAATGGGAAGTTCCGCTTTAAGGACTGCTCCCCCGCTCCCCATTAAGGATTGGCACCTTTGGGGGTGGGGGGGAGCGGGTACCCGAATTTGACAGGTAACCGCTCCCACTTCCGGTCCGATCGCCTAGTCGATTGGAAGCAGAAGATGTCCTTCCCTCCCTGTAGTCTTTTGGGACACGTGACAGGTGCCAGAAGACTACAGGACCATTCATGAAGCGCAGCTCTACTCGCACATGCGCAGTGGGTACCCAGCAGTGAAGCCGCAGGCTATCATAACCGGTTACCACACTGAAGATGCCAGCCTCCCGGAATACAGGACAGCCGGTGAAACGGGCTGCGGGGGACACACCACAGGACTGAGGGACAGGTAAGTGGCTGTTTTTTAAAAGTCAGCAGCTACACTTTTTGTAGCTGCTGACTTTTATTTTTTGACAGAGTGAGTAGAACTCCACTTTTAAAGAAATTATTTACAGGAAAAGATTTGTATTTTTTTAATACCCCACCCTGTACAGTGTCTGTGGTTTCTATATTGTCTTGGTGATAGAAAGCTTTGATCAGGAAGCCAGTATGATATTCGTGTATGCCAAGTGTCAAATGCATTATTCCGTTTTAGGTGAACTTGTGATATGAATGTTCATTACAAGGACATTTGTATGTTGACTTATTTGGGGGATACAACCTGTCTGCTGTGTGTCTGAGTTTCATGCTGCTACTTGTCATGTGAATGCCATTTCTTAATAAATTCTTTGGCTTTTTCATTTATTTCTTTAGTGGCTTGATTCCAGATCATTGTGTTCATTATTTCTCTGCCCTCAGCAGTACTCCTAGGCCTATTTCCAATGGGTACTGGCAGGTGACAATACCAGGTGATTGAGCTGTTTATAACTTGCCTCACCTGCCTGTCATCACCAGTCAGTGGTCCCTGCACAGCTCCACACACATTGCTTTGCAGGGCACCAGAAAAATAAGGCATGTAGTGTGACACTGCCTGTCACCACACCCCATGGAAGTTATTGGTGCTGCTTCACAACCACTCCTCATTCATTGTAAAATGCCTGTTTAAACAGGCATGTGGGGCAGCATATCCTCTCCCGATCACCTGCTAACTGTGGGCCAGTCGCTGTTGACAACATAAGTCAGCAGCTAGGGCCATGTGAAAAGCATCCTTAGAGGCATGTTGCACAGACATATGACAAGTGGGTGCAATTATGCCCTGTTGCATTGCGAAATGTTTTAGACCTATCTGCAGTGGCTTTTGGGAAACTGATCAAATGCAAATTTAAAGGAGTACCATGGCCTCTCATGTAAACAGAATATGTGCTACAATGCTACATACGAATCTGCATCAAATTTTCTTTTCCTCCCTCTGCAAAGTCCCACAAATAACCCATTGAACCTGCTAGGAGCAGTCCTCTTTTACACACACTGTAAAATCATCTTTTTTTTTTTTTTTTTTCTTCAGGTGATGGCAGCCATGGCATAGCTTTTGAACATGCGTCCATAACCATCCCCACTCAATGGGACCTCAGTTTTTTCCAAGTGTCCTTAGGACACCTTGTATTCAAAACAATCATAGTAAATACTATGGGGTAAATTTACTAAAACTGGTGCACTCAGAATCTGCTGAAGCTGTGCATGGTATCCAAACAGCTTCTAACTCCAGCTTGTTCAATTAAGCTTTGACAATAAAACCTGGAAGTTGATTGGTTTCTATGCAGAGCTGCCCCAAATTTTGCACCATGCAGTTTAGTAAATTACCACTTATATATCAAAAGTGCTTCATGTGTTTCTCCAAAAGCCAAAAAGTAATGTAAGAATTGGAGTAACAAGATAGATATATAAAAAGCATTTATTTGGCTGATGACCCAAAGTAACTGCCTTCATGCACTTACCTGAGCCCCATCTTGATCCAGCGATGTGCACGAGAGCAGTGGCTCTCCAGGGACTCTTCCTCTTCATTGGCGTAGACAGCACCAGAAGCTCTTGATACTTTCAATCACAGCCAGTGAGCCAATTAGAGAGCGGGGGGGCAGCGCCAAGCCATACTAGTGTGTGAATGGACACACAGAGCAGTGGCTCCAGAGCCCCCATAGCAAGCTGCCTGCTCTGGGGGCACTTGGCAGGCTGGAGGGGCCAGGAGTGCCTGCGGGGGGACCCAAGAAGAGGAGGATCGGGCTGATCTGTGCAAAACCAGAGCAGGTAAGTATAACCTGTATATTGTGTTTCTTTAAAAAAAAAAAAAAATCAGCCTTTAGTATTACTTTTAAATCCAGCAGCTTAATAAAACCAATTAAAACACAAAACAAAAAAGATTTCAGTAGGTCATGTAACCGAAAATCAACAAAATGCAAAAACCACCTACTAGGATGGTATGCTTGGATCCCAAGTAGGAAATGCATCCAGATAGAATTGTACTATTCAGGGGATCGCCACAGAAAAAAAACAACTCTACTCAAGATGGAATATATGATTCAAGCAAACTAATATTGGGCATGTAAATTCCAACTGCTAGGCTAGACAAAAGAAATGCCTCATTGGTAATAATGATGGTATCCATATTCACTTTATGAAAAAAAACTATTTACTATTACAAAAAAACACCTAAGGTGCACACATAGCATATCAAAAAAGACAAATTAAATCCGAGTCATAAAGTAAGTATTTGGACACCTAAGATGCAGGATAAGGCAAAAACGTCCTTGAAGGTATATGCAGTAAAGTGTGAAGGCAGTACCTGAACAGTATAAGCAGAACGACACTATTCCATATATGTCTCAGATAATAGTTACAGGGTGAATGTCTTCCTGAGGCAGCAAAATCTCCCGAAATAAGGCCACATACATGAATAAATCCTAGAAGAGATGTAGTTAAGTTGAAGTTATTGAACAAGAAAAATACAAGCCAAATATCACTTGACTGAAATCCCCATATATGCAAAAAAGGGGTTATTGATGAAACCCATCGATATGCAATACAAGTGTAAATGAGCTGCCATATCTTTTTTTTTTTCATGTCACAATGGACAGTAATTACTCTCCATTGTCTGGATGTGGTCAGAGCTAAGGGACACCTGCTTCTAAATCCGCTATTGCTGGATAGATAAGACCACTAATTGTAAGAGCTGACACTCTAAAGGATAAGGTACCTCCAGCACCTTTTTCGTGCATCCTCCACAAGATTGGCGGGGCTTTTTTGGACATTTTGACATCTAGTATCTGTTGCTCAGCATTTGTAAGGCTGCCACCTGGTCTTCCATTAATACCAGGCCTCTGTGGATGCAGCCTTCAATCGCAAGTTTTTTTTTTTCCAGCTGCACTCTGAGTTTGGGTTCTTGACCCCCCTTTTTTTTTTTTTTTTTTTTTTTTTTTTTTGAGCCAGTTGGTAGAATTCTGTTTGCCTTGTTGTTGCCCACCCCTCTGAATTTTATTGCTTGGGGACATCGGAGTCTGAGTATCTAGCCTGTGGCCTGTACTGTATGATTATGATAAAGGGAGTTTTGACTTACCTGTAAATATCTTATCTTGGAGTACAGTACAGGACACAGGCACTCCTGTCTGTTGCCGTGTTACTCTGCATTCCTTACTAAGAAAAAAAAAACCAATGTAGCAGGAATCCTAATGCCCTAGAATCAAAGACAAAAAATAAGGAAAAGATGGCTTAGACTGTCAGCAGTAAAGACATCCGTTTTCCTAGACATTGGCCAAAAAAAAAATAGAGGCATGTCAGGATTAGGATAGTTTATCCTGTGTTGGCCTACAAGTTTTTTTATATTTGTTTCTTTTTTTTTTGCTTGCCAGTGTCCAGTCCTCCTGTAGAAATCAGTATAAGCTGACTTTCTGTGTCCCTCAATGGGTGTAACGAAAGGATGATTTTTTTGTTGGGGTTTTTTTGTTTTTCGTTATGAGGCTTATGTATCACACAGTAACTGGGTTTGGTACTTATTTAGACTGTCGTCATAAAGGAGTTGTTAGCTGTACTGTAAGGACTTGCTCACGTTAGCTAAATCAAAGTTTCAGGGATAATATTAGCAGTTCACTGATTAAATGTACTTGTTGCCTGTGGTTGCAATGTGCAAGGTATTCGCATACTTCCAATCTAGCCTTTCTCATGTTTCTCTCTCTCTTTTTTCCAGGGTGCAATCTGTGATTTTTGTGAGGCCTGGGTGTGTCACGGCAGGAAGTGTTTAAGTGTCCATGCATGCAGCTGTCCTCTCACCTCTGCTGAATGTATCGAATGTGAAAGATCAGTCTGGGACCATGGTGCGTTACTACATTAAGACAATCATTGAATTATAGGGAAATAAATGTTTACTGTCACTGTTTAGCATTTGAGAGTCAAATAGTATATCTGAATAGTTATGTGGTATTTGGACGCTAATGTACAACATGAATAATTTATAATATGCTTATAGACAGGAGAGTTGCTTGCCTTGCATCTCTAAGTGTAAGCCGAATACAGTACATGGTTGTGGAAGCCTCAATCCCTCTATCCTTTTTTTACTTGGCATCCACACTGGATGTTTATTAGTAATAATATATTTAGCAGGCTATATATGGGTTGAAGTATATGTAAAGCCAAAACAATGTTGGGGTTATTTATTTATTTTTTGGATAGAGTAGTTGATGGTTGGTTAAGACCCCTACCAGTTCTACTAGGGAAGTAAGTCTGCTTGATAATAGACACATTTCTATGTAGTTCAACCAATGGAAATAATAAATAAATAGAAAGTGTTTTATGTACAGAACCCGGTTACCACAATTGTTCCAGAGAGTGTTTATGTACAGAACCCTGTAACCACAATTGATCCAGAGGAAGGCAGAGAAAACCCCATAAAGCATGGTCCAATTTGCTGCAGTTGAGGAAAGTTTATTTTTACTGATCCCCCAAGGCAATCAGATATTGATTGGAGCAACAGTATCTGGTGTTATTACCTGTACATGTTCAAGAAGCTTCAGTTGTTTTTCTTACTGCTGATGCAGCCATATTTATATATGGGAGCCTTCTGTAGCTTCCTGAGGCACCATAGCCAACTCTGTGCATGCATGAGCGTGTGCGGTACTCTGTAAATTGTCTTGCAGCCTCCTGGGTCAAGTGATGTGTCAAAGGAGGGGAGAGAAAGCGGTGTCATCCTCGTTAAGGATTGTGGAAGTGGGAGCAAGTACCTATTAAAAAACAAAAAACAAATTATACTCTCTCCACCTCTCCCCCCTCTGGAAAAACCTGTAACTCAGTTACAGGCTGGGGTGATGGAGTGACCCAGTAGTAATTTACTTTTTGAATGAAGTTTTCTCTTTAATGTCCATTTATATTCTGTGCATTCAAGAATGCATTCAGCTTTTTTTAAAAGTATAAACTGAGCTGGACAGAACTAATTACTGCGGAAGTCTCTTCCACATTTTCACAGCTCTTAATGTGAAGAAGCCTTTCCATATGTTGAGGTTAAACTTCTTATTTTCATACGGTACAGGATACCGGCTGGATTTTCATAGACCCTTGGTTATAGGTTTGTACCTTCAGGTCATCGGACCCTGGCAAAGCTTTTGAGCACATTCCCCCTGGGTGTCCTGCTATCCCCCAACTTCTTTCCATGAGTCCTCAGTTTTTTCCTACTGTCCTAAGGTTTTGGACTGCTTTACCTTACTGAGAAACCACCTTTAACTTAACTAGTTTATTTTACTTCAGATTCTTTGATCAGGTCTTTACAACTGTCTTCTAATACAACAATAGAATCCGTGCATCCTGGACAGTGCAACTACAGTAATATCTTTGGCAGGACCTCGGCACTTTGTACAGCATCACAGGGTGCTATACAGGTCCCTGGCCATGGTGCATCTCTATGGAATCCAGACTCTGAATATCCCTTCTGGGGTATGCCTACCTTCACAGGAGAAGCCTGGATCCTATTTAGGGATCAATGACATGGACAGGTAAGAAAGGAACACCCTGCTTTTCTGACCAACAACACATATGGGACATAATCTCTACATTACTTTCTTCACACTATTCTGTGTATCCTGAATAGTTTGCATTTTATATTTTAAAACTATCAGGAATCCAGGAATGTGTTTTGAAACTTATTTAATGTCATATTTTTTAAAACTTAATGCTAAAATTCAACCGCTCATTGCCTAGTCTTGGTTGATGACCAAGTGTTGCATTACACCACAGGTTGCACACTTTAGCGCTGCTTTTGACTAGAGCCCTTTGTACGGTACTCAGACACTTCTTCCTGCCCTTTTGCAATGAGGACTTTGCTACAGGACAGTCACCACCTGGGCTATGTTCTCATTCTCAGACATGCGTGCCCAATTTCTGCACTTTACTTTGTGAGTACCCTACAGGGTAATATCCTGACCAATAGCAGTGGTGCAAGCAAACGGCTGCAAAACTCTGCCAAAAATTAGCTCTTCTGAAGGACTGGACCCTATTTTAACACTGGTCTCTTCACCCAATTCTAGCTCTGTCTCAGGCACACAACATGTGGCTTACATGATAAAGGCAGCTTTTAAAAAAAAAAAAAAAAAACAAACAAACTTGGTTGATCCTTCCGTTCAGTGGTGATCCCTTTTTTGCCTGTGTCCCTGCTGCAGCCTGGGATCATATGGATTGCAAGTTGCCAAATCTTGCTCTGGTTTCAGTTCCCATTCAGGCCTTTCATTTCTTCATTTTTCCCATCTCGGCAGCCCACGTAACCATAGTGTCATAAATGTGGGCGTGAACAGTGTTTATCGACAAAGTCCCACCCTCCTTCTCTACGTTGAGATGTAGCTATTCAGTATTCGGCAGGATATAATATACACATGCTGTCAAATAAGGAGTACTATGATGCTTTAAAACCCTTCATATCTATTCGTTATTTAATTTGACTTTCTATTCCGAACAAAAACTTTTTTTTTTTTTTCACACAATGTGACCAGCGCAGCACCAATCAGGGCTGTGCAGTTTCTCTAATGGATCTTTCCCTGCGGATGGGAAAAAAATCAGGGAAAGACCACGTGACCATTGGACAGTGTGGCCGAAGGGTACTTGGAGATGGTGCCATGATGTATAAACATATTTGGAATGATTACTAGGAATTCACATTGGTCTGTTTAGTATCGCTTTAAAGTGAATAACTTTGATTTTGTATAAAATTTACTATATGTACCATTTACTGTATGTATTTATACATTTTTACATGGATATCCCCCTTATCCACCTTCTCAAGAGAGAATAAATTCAGTTCAGCCAATCTTTCCTCATAGCTGAGCTCTTTCAAGCCTGTTTTAAAATTAGTTCCCTTCTCTGCACTTTCTCAGTTCTCCAGTATCCTGTTTGTGAACCGGTGCCCAAAATGAAACTGCATATTCTGATGATATCCTGCCAATACTTTGTACAGAGGCAAAATGATGTTTCTTGTATTAGCAGGTATAGACTCCCATAGAAATAACTTATTGTTCTTGCTTTGGAAACACTAGCTTGGCATTGCATGCTATTAGATTTATTCCCTACCAGAACACCCAGAATGCATAACTATTTATTTGTGAATAGTTGTATGACATTTTTGCTTTATTTTGACCATATAGGCATTTAAAGCAGATGTTTAGTTATTTCCTTCCATTAGATTCACTCCACAGCTGTCTACACTTAAAACTCTAACAGCAACTTTGTGTTGTGTAAACAAGTCACTTAATGTTTTCCAGTTTCCATGTAAATGGATAAATACGGACAAGTAGAGCCAAGAGCATATTTTTGGTACCTTTTGTGAAAAAGAACCACCTACAATTTTCTCTGAAATAACTTAAAACCATGAAAATCTGTAGCTTCTATGAATGATGAATCTGGCAGGAAAGGGCAGATATTGTCAGGCACTCGCGATGAGAGCTCCTGACAGCCCTTATGCTGGCAAAGGTAGGGTAGGACGGTGGAAGATTTAAACTGAAACAAGATGAGTCGGTACTAGTGACAGATCACACTAGCTGTTATGTTCCTTATGCTACATAGTTAGTCTGGATGAAAAAAAAACACAATCCCATCTAGTTCGACCATTAAAAGGGGAAAAAAAAAGTATACATTCCTATACCTGCAGTTGTTCCAGAGGAAGGCAAAAAAAACAATAAAGCATGATCCACTTTGCTCCAGCAGGGAAAAAAATTCCTTCCTGATCCCCCAAGAGGCAATTGGATATTCCCTGGATCAAGTTTACCTGTGACTATTAGTATCCAGTTAGATTGTGTATATTTAGGAAATAATCCAGGCCTTTTTTAAAACAATCTGCTGAGCTTGCCAGAACCAGCTCTTGAGGGAGTCTATTCCCCATCTTCACAGCTCTTACTGTGAAGAAGCCTTTTATATTCCATATTTGCAGATTAAATCTCTTTTCCTCCAGCTGTAGAGAGTGCCCCCTTGTCCTCTGTGATGACCTTAAAGTGAATAAATCTTCCACACTATAAGGACTCTCTTGCCTCCCTCTCGTTCTTTTTCGGTGAAGGCACCGAAACACCTGGTCAGGTTCTCAGGATCCTTCAGTCCACGATCCACTACCACATCCATTGGTGCTCAACCTGTGGCCCTCCAGCTTTTGTGGAACTCCAAATCCCATGAGGCATTCCAAGGCTGACAGTTACAAACTTGATTCCCAAAGACTGAGGCATGATGGAACTTGTAGTTGCACAACAGCTGGAGGGCCATAGGTTGAGCACCCAGGCCAGACCCTATACTAGAGAGAGAGGAAATCTCTCTTCTGGTGCCCTGGATAACAATAGAAACTTAGTAAGGGTTCTAATAATTCCATACCTATACAAAATTAAGGCCCCTTTCACACAGGCAGAATGATCAGGTCCGCCTGTCAGTCATTTTTTTTTTTTTAGGCAGATCTAATCAGACCCTCCATTCTCCTCTATGGAGCAGCGAGTGTAAATGAACATGTCAGTTTATACCTACCTGCATCCAATCCAATCTGATCCACTAACAGATGGAGGGAGATCCTTTTCTTTCTAGTGCAGTGGTCTCCAAGCTGTGGCCAGATGCGGCCCTTTTCTTGCCCTTATCTGGCCCTTGGGGCGCCATTTCATCCACTGGCTCCAACATCAAGGCATTATTCCTCCCACTGATACCAATAATGGGACACTATTCATCGTGCTGATACCAATGATGGGGCACTATTTCTCCTGCTGATTCCAATGATGGGGCACTATTTCTCCCTGCTGATTCCAATGATGCTGGATGGGCACTATTTTTCCCGCTGATACAATGATGGGCACTATTTCTCCCGCTGATACCAATGATGGGGCACTATTTCTCCTGCTGATACCAATGATGGGGCACTATTTCTCCCGCTGATACTAATGATGGGGCACTATTTCTTCCACTGATACCAATGATGGGGCACTATTCCTCCCGCTGACACCCGATGGGGAACTATTCCTTTCATAATACCAAAGATGAGGCATTTGCTTCTCCCACTAGCCACAGACCGGCCATTGTTATATTATTATTATACAGTATTTATATAGTGCCAAAAGTTTTTTTCAGCGCTGTACATTATAGTGGGGGGACAGTACATGAGACAATACAGTAACAGAACAATACACGAGGGGTTCGAGGGCCCTGCTCTTTCGAGCTTACAATCTAGGAGGGAGGGGATAGTGGTACAGGAGGAAGTGGCTGTGGGGGATGGAGTGGTAGGAGGAGTGGAGGAGATCAGCTGTTAGGTGAGGGTGGGGTAGGCTTCTCTGAAGAGATGGATTTTTAGGGTGCGCCTAAAGGTGAGAACGGTAGGTGACAGTCTGGATTGGGGAAGTGAGTTCCAGAGGATGGGGAAAGTCCTGGAGAAGTCCTGCAGTTGGGCGTAGGCATTATAATGTCAGAAGGACAGTAAACCAGCCCTTTGTTTAGTAAGTCTGGAGACTCCTGGTCTAGTGGATTGGATGGAAGTCGGATGTAAACGGACAGGCAGTTCGTTTACATCCAAACACGCATAGAGGAGAGTGACTGTGTCGACTCTGCCTACTCAGTGGGGATCAGCAGACCCCCCGCTGAGCAATCTGACGCCTTTCAGAGTCTTCCCTGTGTGGAAGGGGCCTAAAAAGCAAGTTTTGGCTGCACTTATGTTAAACCAGGCTAAGCTTGCTTCTCCCCTACATCTCATTATGACTGATGACAGAATCTAGGGATGGGGCAGTTCATATGTGCAAGTCCTGGATCCAAAGATAGGAGTCAGCAATCCTTTCAGGGCCTTGTTCAAACCACACAGAATGGCATGCCATTTGTTAGGTTTTACCTGCATTTCAGAAGAAAATTACTCATGGTCCCTGCAGAAACTGCCACATGATGTGAATTGTGGGAACAGGAAAAGGTCTATGGATATTCTAAACCTTTTCATGGTCTGATTTTACCCTAAATGGAGAACAATATATTTGGGGAAAAAGGCTGATCAGAATCTACAGTACCAATAAACATAGCAGCTGACTTTCAGTGCAAGATTCAGCTAATACACACATGTACTAAGGGTAGTGCGCTCAGAATCTGGTGCAGTTGTGCTCAATAGCCAATCTGCTTTTAACTTCAGTTTGTTTAGTTAAGCTTTGGCAATAAAACCTGGAAGCTGATTGGTTTCTATGCAGTGCTGCACCAGATTTTGCACTCTTCAGATTTAGTAAATAACCCCAATGGTCTGTGTTTCCCAATGTTAGTTGAAAGGTGGTTTTATACAAGGCTGACTTTTATGACTAGTCTTTTTTTTCCCTCTGAATCCCTGGTGCTACCAGTTTTGCTACGATTTGTTAAAGGTTTTCAATTGTCCTTTGAGGAAGTGAAGGAGTTAAGAGCATGTAAAGAAGTGTAAGCAATCCAAACCTCCACTGATTCTTTTTGCTGGTTTTTAGCTTGAACCTGGTGAGGTAAAATGTTATAAATTGCTTGCTAATTATATAGTTCAGGTGGAAAAGAACAAACACTATAGATGTCTTCCAGTGCCGATGTTTTCTTTAACAGTGAATGATTGTTTTGTGAATTGTCTTGTTCTTCAGGTGCTAGTCAGCTTTTCTTTTTTTTTTTTTTTTTTAACCGTTCTGATCAAAATGTTCCAGCAGGACAGCAAAAAAGCAATTATACAGAGAAGAACTGAAGTATTTTACCGGCTCTCTATGAAGTTTCTAGAGAGAATTGGTTGTTTTCTTTATACAGTTTGCCGTTTTAGTTTTCACCTGTGGTTATAATTTTGAAGCAGAGTTACTATCAAACGATTAATGGCTGATAATATCGAAATTAAAAAGTCAGTCTTTTCTGCAATATGTGAAGATCAGCATTTTCTGTAGTTACCATGCCTTCAATCAGTGCTATAGGAAACATTACATGCTGGGCATCTATTCTGATTTTAGCCATAAAAGGAACATAGCACACGCAGCAATAAACAGCCTTTTTTTTTTTTTTTTTTTTTTTTAAATGGTAAATTTTTTCATCCATGTTTGCATCTCAGTGCTGCTGACCTCCTCCGGCCCTTTTCAGCCACTTCCTGTCTACATGCACACCCTCAAGTGTCAGTTTTACATAATTTCTGTGGACCGACTTGTGATATTGACAACATTGGACCATGCCTGCACAAGGTATGTCAGTATGGCCTCTAGTAGTCTCCAGCAGGGGCGCATGTGACAGGGTGACAATGCAACTTCACAATTGAGAAGGGAGTTGTTGTCGCCCCACAGCAGAAGTGTCTCTGCGCAAGGACCATCATAACTGGATCACCAGGTTTTTGTTTAACTACTTCCCGTCCGGCCCACGTATATAAACGGCTGGACGGAAGCAGTTCAAGGGTGGGTGGCCGTTTATAAAAGGCCTCCCTGCTTGTGCACGCTCCCTGGCAGCACGCAGCACCGTGATCCGGTGCCCGCTGTGTCCTCCGGATACAGTGGAACACCGATCGTCATGCGGGACCTCTGTGTGAGGTCCCGATCATGTGATCACTGATTGGCCAATCAGTGATCACATGAAGAGTAGTAAGCAAGATGTCACTTCTGACATCATTGCTTACTGCGTGTTTAATTTGTGAATGATCACAGAGGTCACATGGTACAAGACTATTCACAACAGCCTTGTACCATGTGACAAGTTGTGACCAATCACAGCTCTCACAGTATTTCTCAATGGCTGCAGGAATGCAGCCAGAGAGAAATGATTGTTTTTACAGCCTTTATGGGTGTAAAAGCAATCAGTGTAAAAAAAAAAAAAAAAAAAATCTTCATCACCCCCCACAAGTAGTACAGTGTCACCATGGACAGTATGTATAAACATAAATAATATAAAAAAATAAAATAAAAATGTAAAAAAAAAGTTTAAAAAGTATAATTTTCGGTTATAAACTAATTTGGGTAATTAAATTTTTTTACTAAAAAGATAAAGGAATACATTTTGTCCAAGATTTATGATGAAATATTATTTATTTGCAAAATTTTATAAGAAAAACACTTTTTTTCAAAATTTTTGGACTTTTTCATTTACATAGCAAAAAAAATAAAAATCCCAGTGGTGAATAAATACCACCAAAATAAAGCTTTATCTGTCTAAAAAAAAAATGCTAAAAAATCCATATGGGTACAGTGTTGCATGACCGCGCAATTGTCATTCAAAGTGTGATAGCACTGAAAGCTGAAAATTGGGCTGGACAGGAAGGGGGTGAAAGTGTCCGCACTTGAAGTGGTTAAGGGCTGGTACTCACAGTGCTGTAAGTCATTCTAGTTGCACTCCAGGGAAAAACACAAATCCTCCCTTGCATTGGGGCTGCTCTCACACTGCAAGAGTTAGATGCTTATTTATGTCTAGGATGCTATCTCCATAATATTTAGCATCTCATCCTTGCTGACTGAAAGCTGGGGTAAGTCAAAATACGGCAGTATCAAAAACGCATTTAAAAAATCAGTCAAGTCAATGATAATCACACTGAATATCCAATCAAATTGCAGTTGCACTAGTGTGAAACTAGCCTTTAAAATTAAAAAATAATTTTATATGATTTCTGGTATAAACATCTATTTTTTTTTTTTTTTCAACAGTGCTGGCCAGTTGCCAAGAAATCTAGACTGGCAGCAAAAGGAATGGTCACGTGCTGTGGTCTTACCTGTTTTCTTCCCTAAACCACCCTGCCCTTAAGTAATCGAATGGCTTTAAGAGTTCAGGCATAAACCTGCATTGATTGATTTCAAATATGCTTCAGCTTTGTAATGGTAAATGTTTGGCACGTTTGCTTTTTTTTATAATAATCTTCTGCTTTACAGGTGGCAGGATATTCAGCTGCTCTTTCTGTTACAACTTCCTATGTGAAGATGACCAGTTTGAACACCAGGCAAGCTGCCAAGTCTTGGAGGCAGAAACTTTTAAATGTAAGTAATTATTGGGAAATAGGTTAAAACCCAATTGTAGTTTTATGAAAAAAATATGCAAATCAAATTAGAGTAAAAACTGATAATTCGTCAGTGTATTCACTTTGTAAAAGTGGAAAACCCAGTCACTCCTGTGTTTGGGGATGGACTCAATGTCATTAAGACCACATATGGAAATACTTGGGATATGCGCGCATTGCTGCCCTTAAGAACCGGGGGAGTCCAAAGTACTGAACAGAGAAAAACAAACAGAGGGCGCATCGGCCTAGTGCATTACCTAACAGTGTTTAATAAATGCAAATAATAAGTATTATACTCATAAATGAAAGGCACATCATAAAGAAACAGCTCTGTCCAATTCACACTGCGTTTTTTATTTGTAGTGAGAACTCTGGACATCCAAAAGACTGACGCGTTTCGAGGACTAGCCTCTTCCTCAGAGCCAAAAAAAAAATTTTTTTTGGCTATGAGGAAGAGGCTAGTCCTTGAAATGCGTCAGCTTTGGATGTCCAGAGTTCTCACTACAAATAAAAAACGCAGTGTGAATTGGACAGAGCTGTTTCTTTATGATGTGCCTTTCATTTATTGATCATTTGTCAGCATAATACTTATTATTTACATTCATTAAACATTTTCAAGGTAATGCACTAGGCCGGTGCGCCCTCTGTTTTTTTTTCTCTATTCACTTTGTAACCCTGCCCCATCTGAAACCTCCTCTGCTCTGCTGTGTGTGGCAGAGAGAGGCTGCTGTGCTCTGTGTAAATGCAGTAGTTGCACACCTCCTGCCCTGTCAACTACAACTGTATAATCGGCAAAGCTCACAGTCAATTCTGTTTGCAGTGTTGTAGGTCTGAATTAGTAAGTCTCATTTACATTTGCTATTGGGGGGGAAAAAAATTTAGCTTGGGCTGAGATTTTGCCAACCCCATAAATGCTTCCCCTTAAGTTTAAAAGACAGTGGACAGTTGATGCGTTGCACCGTGGCACAACAGAGATTATTCCCCCATGGTGCTTGTCCCCCCATATCCCTATTCAATTCACCTGACTAAGTCTGCCCGACTCTCTCTGAAGAGAGATCCCCTGTAGAGTGCTCTTCAGAGGGCACCACAAATGTAGATGAGCCCTAAGGGGTGTGTCGAACCACTACTCTTACACAGAACTCTACAGTCTCTCTGGAGCATACTGCAGAGCAATTGTCATTTTCTGTTGGGGCTGGGATATATATACTTTTTGGAACCACCCTGAGTTGATTGGCATCATTTTTTCAATCTACAATTGGGTTTGATCAGTAGATTTTACTACGAAAACCTTTTCTGGAACTGTGATTCACTACTCCTTTTTATATTTACGTACATCACCTGTGAATGTATTTTGAAATAAGCGGTGGAGCGCCTGTGTTGTTTTAAGGCCTGGTTCACACCAATGCATTTTTTTTTTTATTGCTTTTTGTAGAAACACACTACAGTCCATTTAACATGGTTTCCTATGGGACATGTTAACATCCATGTGTTTTTCAGCCACTGCATTTTTGGAAAGGATCAGGGACTTTTTCAAATGCAAAAAGCTGAAACGCATGTAGTACGTTTTTGCCACTTTTTGCAATTTTTTTGTGCTGGCTAGCAACAAAAACATTTCCCCTGTTAACACAAAAAAAAAAAGAACAAAACACGGCAAAGGCCCGCGTGTAGAAACGCAAAGCGAAATCCAAAAAGCATTGCAAAAATGGATCAAAAAGCAAACTGCATTGGTGTTAACCAGGCCTTAAAGTGGGAATACACGATTCGAAAATCGACTGATCGGTCATCCGACGACCGAGAGGCGTTCGTTCTTTGGTCGAAATCGTGGCCCACATTAACCAATCTGAAAAAATCGTTCTTTGTGCGATACGTAGTGTTGACGCTTACAAGTGGAAGTGATGCAGTGTGCGTGTGACCTTGTAGCCACACCCTTTCTGCCAGAACGAGCGATATACACAACAATTAACAGCAATGAGTATAATATAGTTTATTACATTACCTCTATACCTAAATAGTGATACATAAAATATAATATGCAGAATTCTGGTCTCATTATCTCATTAGGCCAATCTACTTTTAACATTTGGATTTTTCGTTCGTGTTTACGAAGATTCCTTGGACATAAACATCCGGGTCATCTTCTGTTTCCGCTCATACGTGTTAGCGCTTGATAGATTTTTTTTTTTCGTACGACCGTCATACCACCGCATAGAAATTTGGTCGTTCGTATGTGAAACGACAAACTTTTTCACTGTTGTTCAACCGGATTTTTTCGTTCACAATATCGTTATTGGTTAAAACATCCTGCTTATCAACGAAGAGAAAATCGTTCGATCAGTGGTTCTGCTAAATTTTTCAGACGATTTTCTTATTGTATGTACGGGGTATTAGTCTTCGATTCTGATATCGCCCTTCTTTTTTAATAGGTGCCTCCTGCAATCGCTTAGGTCAACATTCATGCCTGCGCTGCAAGGTAATTATGATTTAATATTGACCAAAATGATTATAGGCTGACAGTAGGTACATCTTCAGGTCCTTTCACTTTATTTTGACAGGCATGTTTCTGCGACGATCATGCTCGAAGTAAAGTTTTTAAGACTGAGAAAGGCAAGGAGCCCCCCTGCCCAAAGTGTGGCCATGAAACGCAGCAAACAAAGAATCTCAGCATGTCTAGTAAGTGCTTTTTTCTCTTTTTTTGCTTTGTACTCCACCTAGCTTGATCAGAAGAACATTTGTTTCGGTCTCTAAAATGCTTTAAAAGTACAGTGAATTGTCTTTGTGAGGAAAGAACATAACCATTTATTACATACTTCACTTAGTGGACTGTCTTTCAGTTTTGATAAGCCTTTTAAAAGTAGTATATTTTATGAAGCATGCAGTAAAAGCCATTATAATTCATGGAGTTTGAGCTTGAAATTAACAAATGCATAACTAGGTAGGGTGTAGGATGTACAGTAGTAATCCTGTTTATTTCATGGAGTTTTCATTGAAAGTAAGCAGATGTATAGTTATGCCAAGAGCAGCAGTCGCAGTACTAAGCCTGTATATTTTTATTGAGCTTGCTCTGGAAGTTAATGGATGTATAGTTCATAGAGTTTGCTTCAGATATATGCAGATGTGTAGGTGGTGGAGGGCCGGAAGTACAGTAGTAAGATTGTATAGTTCATAATGCTTGAAGTGAAAATTAGCAGATGTATAGATAGGTGGCAGTCAGGAAGCACAGTAGTAAGTCTGTATAATTCATTGAGAAGTTATCCATTTGTAGGTAGGCGAGGGCAGAAGGTACAATAGAAAGCCTCTATATTTAATGGAGTTTGCCCATGGAAAACAGTGGTGGTATAGTCAGACTGGGGGCACAGAGTGCACTTCTAAGCCATTCTCTTTTTTTTTCATTTGTAGCACGAACACTCAAGTTTGGCAGGCAGAGTGGAGCAGATGAGGATGAAGATGGAGCTTCTGGTTATGACAATTATTGGAAGAATCTGGCATCTGGTGCCACCAATACATACGATGATGATGATGATGAAGAGGAGGAGGAAGAGGAGGAGGAGGATGATGAAGATGTGGGTGATGAGGAAGGAGAAAAGGACTCTGATACAGAGGCCACGGATCCATTTAGCCACTTGCATTTAGGAAGGACATATGCCAGTGGCTATGCCCACTATGAAGAGTCTCAAGACTGAGTTATCTAAATATTGTGCACTATATTGATAATGTGGTAACTTTACTGCTTTCTAAGTTACCTTTGAATGAAGCAACAGTGCCTCGTGTATGAATAAAGTAGGTCCAAACCCTAATGGACATTTAATTTAGTCTTATAAAGCACTGTGTGCTATGGATTATTTTTAATACAATATTGCTTTCACCTTTTTTTTTCTGCACCTTGGTGCAATTGGTCACTTTCTGTCTATGAGCACTCGCTGCATCGTTGGCTGCATATCAATGCTCTGGACTGGCTTGGACCATGGGCCATGCCTGCATAGTGTGTTAACATTGTAATCTCCAGAGGCACATATAAGGGGGGGTCAGTCGTCACCCCATAACATTAGGAAGTTTATTTAATAAATCTGGAGTGTGCAAAATCTGGTGCAGCTCTGCATAGAAACCAATCATCCTTCAGGTTTTATTGTCAAAGCTTAACTGAACAAGCTAAAGTTAGAAGCGGATTGGTTTTATATGCACAGTTGCACCAGATTTGCACTCTCCTGTTTTTTAGTAAATCACCCCCTAAATGTCTGAACAAGGATGTTGGTGGCAGGATCACCAGTTGTTACATTTATGTAAAGCTTCAAATTAAGAAAAAAAAATGGAAAGAACTTTTGGAATTGTACTATCATATCAAAACGTATGAGATTTTAGCAATTGGTTTTGGATCTGCTTTATTATACATTAGCCAGAAATATAATTACTCTTTTTACTAGGATCATAGTGTAAAATTATTAAAGTGGGTTCAACGCTAGATTAAATGGTAAGATATTTCATATATAGCAATTCTTATCCCTTCATATGTGAAGTGGCGTACTAATTTGTTGTCATGTGTAAAAGAACAATTTTCCTTACACTACAACAGGGGAAATCGGTCCAAATCTGGACATATTAAAATCCAACTGGAATTAAAATGTGTGTTTTTTGTTTTAGGTACAGCATGGGTTTTTATTACCATTTGTGTCCCTGTTGGGAAGAGTTCCCCTAGTTTCCGATTAATGATGCAAGTGGGGTTACAGGCAGACAATTTAAGATTTCTCCTACTCTATTCAAACTTAAAAAAAATAAGGCTGGAGTTGGCAGATGTTTAAATAGTATCCCTTCAGGAAACATTCACAGTCTTAACCAAAGTCCTTGATTAACTGAATCCGAAAGGGTCGAAAATCAAACCGGGTGTTAGGTGTAGTTGTATAATGACTGTATTTGCTTTTGTAAGATGTAATTGTATGACTGCATCCTTTGTTCTCTAGGTACTCCAATTCAGCTTGCTGAACATTGCTCACATTTTAAGACTTCTTTTTCTTGGACTCCTGCTGAAGAGGAAGGTGTCCTCCTTGAGCAGTGTTGGGCCACCTATTACATTTTGATGACCAGCATCCTCTTAGATCAACAAATTATTTTATTTTTTTCATAGTTATTCTTATTATTTGTTATTATTATTTTTATTACTATTATAAAAGAAGGAACAAAGCTACAAGTGCAGTACTCAAGCAGATACAAAGTGTATTTCATTGTTCTAAACAAAGGGGTGTTTAACAATCCTTCAGCCTTTAGTGTTGCCAGACTGTGGCCAATTGAAGTAGAAAATGCCACAGTGGCAGTGGAACTAAACAATCCCTGTGGCTTGGTAATGAGTGGGAGTAAAAATGCCTCAGTGGGAGAACTGGTGCCCCATTGTTGTCAGTGGGGGGGAATACTGCTCTTTTGTTAGTTTTGGTAGGAAGAATAGTATCCCATTGTTGGAGTGCCTCCATAATTGGTGTCAGTGGGAGGAATATTGTATCATTGTTTTTCTGTCAGAGGGTAGAAATGTGGCCTATCGTTGGTGTTGGGGGAGGAATAGTGGCCTATTGGTGTCGGAGGAATAGCGCCCCAAGAGTCAGTTAAAGGCAAGCAAAAATCAGCTTTTGGGGATCACTGTTATGTACTGATGAAAGATAAGACAATATTTGGAAAGTATAACTCCTTATACTTCTTAAAAAGGCACCATGATTATTAGCTTCATTTGTGCCTGCAATTGTGACAAAAAAAAAAAGAGAGTTTAAAGTGGTTGTAAACCCTTACATATACCAGGTGAAGTGATTTTCCTCAGGTGATACACAGGGTTGAAACAAATCCTCCTACAAGTTGTGCCTGTTTATCTGAAGCCTTCTTTTCTCTACATTCGTTCAAAGTGCTGAATTTGTAAAGCTTTCTAAGAGTTCAGAAAAAAGGGCATAGAGCTGAAGTTACACTCTGCAGAGCTCACAGGAACAGAGCTGAAGCTAGCAATCTGCTGAATGTCCCTCCCCGTCTCCATTTTTCCTCTTGGTGTCAGGAAAACTTGTCAGAAGTGATTCGTGCTGATAGCAGAGGAACGATGCAGTAGACAGAAATGACAGTGCACTTAGTTAAGACAGGTACACACTATAGAGGGATATGCTTTGTTCATATTTCATGTCTGAGGTTTACAACTACTTTTAGGCCCCTTTCACATAGGGGTTACATTTTTTTCATCCGTTCAGTAATGTTTTTTCCAAGAAAAAATGGATCGGTTCATCAGTTTACGTCCTTTTTTTCATCCGTTTTCTGTCTGTTTACATCTATTTTCATCTTTTTCGTCCGTTTACATTAGTTTTTGTCCATTTACATCTGTGTTTCATCTGTTTTTGTCCCTGTACTTCAGTTTTTCATTCGTTCCGTTTTTTTAATGACGGAAGACTGATTTCAGGGTGTTGTTAACTTAACATACACACCTGCAGTGGTTCGCATGAACAGGGTGCGATTCTGATGCGGTTCAGGATTCGCACAGAAAATACTGCGAATACCGCACAGCATCAGTGTGAACCCAGGCTAAGGCCCTGTTCACATTTGGGCAATTTCCAAATAGTGGCAAAACGTGCAATGCTTGTACTATTTTTGCCGTGATTGTCATGCGACAAAATGCATGAGAATTGTGGTAAAACACGTGTTTAAAATCACACACTCGGGGCCAAAATTTGAGATTCCACTTGGCCACAAATGTACATAAAGCAACCTTTTCAAGTGAAGAATTGCCAAAAACAAAGTGCAAGCGAGAACGTGAGTTCCTGCTAGGGGCAGTGTAAACACGGCCTTATAGCTGCTGGCAGATCATCATCCTCAAAGTTCACAACAGAAGCACTAAAGTCATAGTTGCATAGTAGATTAGGTTGCAAAACGACACAGGCCCATCAAGTTAAGACTTACTAAAGGTAAATAGGCTGAATCGACTAAGAATATCATACCCATTGAGGGAGGTTTCTGGAAGTTTTTTTGAAATTGTCTGCACTTCCAGCTGACACCACTGCCTGGAGAAATGATTTCCACAGTTATGTTACTCTATCTGTAAATAACCCCTTGCACAATTTCAAATTTAAGCAGCTCAGCTATTTGGACAGGAGCCCCAGCCATATTGGAGGCTTCAAAATGTTGGGCGGAAGGTGACCACTATTTGATCTACCCTGCTTGCAATAAAACCGGAAGCAACATTTAATTCATCAGTTTGGTTTCAGAGCCATCATTCACTGGTGGATACGGCCAGGGAAGCGCGTAACTGTGCAAAGATCTGCTCGGTTAGATGTTTCGGAGGACAAGGGAGACATTCGGGCCTATTGGACCCCCAGTGTCTCCATAAAGAATACCTGTCTGGTGCTATCATATGGGGGTTTATTAAACCCCTTTTTGTAGCAATAAAGGTAAGTTTAAAGTAAATAAAGTTTAAAAAATTATAGTATTTATTGAAAACCAAAATAAATGTTAGACATAACTCCCATTGCCCTGCACACACTCAAGGTGTACACGTGTATGTAAATCGTGATCACACCACACGTGATCTATCACTACGACCGTCAAATTGGGAACAATAATTCTAGCACTAGAGCTCACGGTTAACTCTAAGCTGATAAGTAGTAAAGGCTTTTAAAGCATAACCTCTAGAGATTTTTATATTTTATCAAAAAATTGGGTAATATGATGTGTGCACGAAAATTCATTACATTATATTTTTTTTCTTAAAATATACGTTTGACAAACCGTTTTACAAATATCATGCAACTTAACAAATTGCAACTTCTATCTTTTTATTCTACAATGCCTCTATCTTCAGAAAATAAATAATGTTCTGGGGGTTTTAACCACAAGCCTACAGGGCACTTATACCCCCTTCCTGCCCAGGCCAATTTCCAGCTTTCAGCACTGTCGCACTTTGACAATTGCGCGGTCATGCAACACTGTACCCATATGAAATTTTTATCATTCTTTTGTGACAGAGCTTTATTTTGGTGGTATTTAATCAACTCTGGGTTTTTTTTTTCTTAAACAAACCAAAAACCACTGAAAATGTTGAAAAAAATTTTTTCTTAGTTTTTGTTATAAAATTTTGTAAATAAGTGATTTTCTCCTTCACTGATGTGCGCTGATCAAGCTGCACTGATGGACACTGATAGGTGGCACTGATGGACATTGATGAGGAGGCACTGGTAGGTGGCACTGATGGGCATTGACAGGCATTACTGATGGGCACTGAAAGGCAGCACTGATATATGGCACTGTTAGGCGGCACTGACTGGCACTGAGGGTGACACTGAAAGACAGCTCATTTGGGCACTGATATGTGGCATTGATGTGCGCTGGTAGGCACTGATGAGCACTGGCATGTGGCACTGATGGACACTGACAGGTGGCACTGCTGGGGCTACACAGATCATCAGTGCCCTGATGATCAGTGTAATGTCCCCTCCGTGGAATGCCAATTACCGGCTCTCTTCTCCTCACGAGCTGTCAGCATGACAGCTCGTGGGGAGAGAAATGCCGATAACCGGCATTTCCCTGTTTACATGTGATCAGCTGTGATTGGACACAGCTGATCACATGACCGAGCCGACATCTTCGGCTCTTTCCATGGATCGGTGATCTGCTGTGTCCGAGGGACACAGCACACCGCCGATCGCCGTGCTGCGCACTCCCTGAGCCGCGCATG